ARRAAAAAACCTCTCAAACCCAAGGCTGAGAGACTCATAGAATTATAGAATCACAGAATCATTCAGGTTGGAGAAGTCCTCCAAGATCATTGACTCCAATCTTTGATTGATCACCACCTTAAAACTGCACCAGAGCAGTGAGTGTTGGATCCCACTGGGCATGGCAAAGGACACCAAAAACTGGATGTTGCTGAAGGCAGAGCATTGGGAGGGKCAGGGACACGTGGCCTTGGCTGCAGGATGGGGTCCCAGCAGCCTGGATTTTGCTTGCTCCTGCTTTGGAGCCTCTTCCCTGCTCAGTTAATGGGAATAGCTCCTGTTAGCACATCCCAGGAGCAGCAGGACAGCTCAGGCTTGTGTGGAAATGGAAGAATGAAGTGAGACTGGACCTAATTTTCCCTCACTTTCCCAGCCAGGAGATTCATGAGGTGGCTGGTGAGTTTAGGGGAACTTGCAGTCTTTYCATCATATTGCTGGGTGGATGGATYGTGTGGCTCGGSGGATGTTTAAGGCTTTAATTAAATCAGGGCTGCACTCTGCAGTGCAATGGTTCCCTGCTGCTTTTGGRAGTCATTCCCTGCCTCTTCAGACCTCGTGGGGTGGGATGAGCCTGGCTGGATGCCCTGTGCCCCACAAAGCTGCTTCATCACTCACTGCCCTCCTCGRCTGGACAATGCAGAGAAAGTTTAACAGGAAGCTCACCATCAGAACAGGGAATGATCACTCAGGAATTAGTGTCATGGGCAAAAAGGTCTCAACTTGGGGAAATTATTTTCATTTATTGCCAATCCAGTTGGGGTAGTGTAATGAGAAATAAACTGAAATCTTAAAAACACCTTCCCTCCACCCCTCCCTCTSCTCAGGCTTAGTTTCCCTCCTGAGTTTTCTCCTCACTCCTGCCCAGCAGTGCAGGGGGATGAGGAATCTCATTGCCTCTACCACTCCTCCTCCTCATCCTTCTCCTGCACCAGGCAGGATCCCTCCCATGGGAAGCCATCCTCCATGAAATATTCCACAGCGAGTCCTTCCCGTAGGTTGCTCCTCTCTGACTGGGGCTCCAGCCCAGGCTTC